AATTCCAGATTACAAGTGGCAAATAAGACATCAAAGGAAATGTGCCTCCATTAAAATACGACGCTGGTCGGTTACTTATCACTTGTTCCAAGACATCACTGATATCAAATCTAGTCCTGTACGGTTTTGAGCTAATCAAGATATGATGATGCAGGGATGCTTGATAGTGATTTCCTCAAAACATTTCATCACTACTATGAAGTTAGGGCAGTGTACATGTACATTATTGTGAAACTGTTTTGGTTGTGGCTTTCAGGAACTGGGACAATGGTGGCAGTTTTCCAGGAGATGGCATTGTGTTTGCATGTGTGGATCTACTGATTGTTTTAACAGTCTGGACAATGGCCCAGCTAGTTCCTGTGCATAGACCTTCAGGACTATCCCCCCCCAACATTGTGGGGTCCAGTAGCTTTGTGAATATTCAGTCTTTTAAACTGCTTCTTGACCTCTTTGATGAAAATTATATTGGTCAGATCCTGTACATTATTCCTACACTTGATCCCTCAAGTCATTGGTATCAAATCTGCAGAAAAACCATTTCAGTTCATTTGCAAACTAAACTCCAAGTTGCGGTTTGTTCCTACAAGTGCATCAGCCTCAGGCTTCTTTCTGTTACAGAAACCTGTAATGTTTGGAGACACTGCCCGGCATCTCTAGTGTTATTATTAAAGTGGAAACAGTCGTGAAGTTTGTCTGTGTTTGATTTCTTCACATTTTTACTCCTTTCAAAAGCTTTGATTTTGACTCTCCTAACATTTCAGCATTCGATCCTCTCTTGAAAGCCTCTGGTTTCTTATCAAGCAGTATTTTCAATTTCAGGGATTTAGTTAACCAAGACTTATCATACAGATACACCAGTATACTGTTCTTGTAGGCACATGAAGCTCCACGCTCTATTTATGTAACTGTTGACAGTGTCAAAAGCTTCAGTCACAAGCGGAATCTACAAATGTGGGGAAACGATTAACATGTATTATGATTTTGCTTGATTGTTCACAAATTGGACCAATAGAGGGCATTGGTCTACTTAAAGTCAATTGCCAAAAGGTAGCCAGCTGCATATGCAAATTATATAAAAATAGAACTGTATCCATACAGTGGAGGGATATGTCTGCAACGACTTAGATTTTTGGCTGGTGGAGACGAGTTGAAAAGGAAGAAGAAGTAGTTTTTGGGAGGGGAGAAAGAAGAGGGTGATGGTTCGTTATGGCGTCTTGTCAACCTTAAGCCACGCTGGCTGGTGCAGCATTGATTGCCTCCTCCTTCGACTGCGGGGATCATTATCAAGGTGATTCAAATTAAATCTGAATGACAACAAATCAGCAAATCTGAAGTTACTTGACACCTGCTTCTCTGGTGTATTCCTCAAGCTGAGCACCCAGCAGCGCAACCCCGTGCATACTACACAAATAAGGATGTTCCAATCTGAATGGCAAAACAAATTTGCAGAGTCTGCTCGACATCATCGTTTCAGACCTTCACACATGTCTTGACAGGTTTCACTGTTTGACAGTGCTTAGACATCAGAACAATCATGTTGTGATCTGAGAGTCCAGGGCCTGGCAAATTAACGTCTTGTATGCATTTTTAACAGAACAGTAACAACAGTCCAAAATTTTTCTTCCTCTTGTAGGATTACTTTGCAATGTTCCAGCATCAAGAACAAAGACTGTGGGGTTGCCAACTTTTACCCCGACAAAGGAAAACAGCAATTACACTGGTGTAATAACAAGAAACTAAGTCACAAACACACTTCACATGATGTTATCCACTTTGATGAGCATAATAATAATGAAGACACATACATGTACATAAAAAACAGACATCACAAAATTCAGTGGGAATCGAAGATTCCAGTGATGGTGGTTTTTTACATTTAGGTAGAAATTTCTTGTTGAAGTCCTACATGTAATTACTCAAACTAGCTAGCTACCGATGTGCTTGATTTGTTACTAATGTCAGGCCTAACATTACGCATGCACTACCCATGGTTCTAACTAAGTTTGAAGTCAAAGTTCTTGTCCTTTATCCAAAGCAGAATACCTTAGGGATTGTAACTCTGCTTTTTTTTTTTTACAACAGATTGATGAACTTTGCAGGCCCAAACCCTTCGATGTTTACATGGGAGAAGTTGGGTGCCTCTACTCCATTAAAAGATGAGCCACCTCCTCAAATCCCAGATCAGCTGAAGATATAAGCAATGCATTTAATCAAAAGTTAGTGCCTACTTGAAAAAAATACTCCATCATACTGGGTATCATGGTGAGGTTTATTGCCTCTGTAGGTTACTCGTTATGATATGCGGATAATTCCAGAAATTAGGTCTCTATTGTTTTTGGTGACCCTGTCACATTTGACATATGATTTTGTAAGTTTAGAACACATTTTCTAATTTCCAAGAGTGATGAACTAATGCAAATTACCAGCCAAACAAATAGTAATAGTTTGAAATCAATTCCGTTGATATTTCCATGTCAAATGACAAAGGTCAGATGTAACCTGGACACAAAAAAGTCACACTTTTGGACCCTTAATTTCTGGAATTACCCATATACGTGGAAGGGTTATTACACAGAGTCTTATGCGCCAAGTTCTGTGATTTTTGTACATAACAGTGATTGTTGTCATCAGGTTTATTAACTGATAAACCTAGTGCAGCGGGTTATCAGTTGATAAACCTCACAGGTTTACTGAGGTTTACCTGACTGTCTACTAGATTGACTGCCACGTTGATAGTCATTCCTTTAGAGTGTTTAGGGTTGGTATATTTCCAACAAATGGACAGGACTAGGACTTGAGTCTTCTGTTTGTGATGTAGTTTCTCCCCAGCCGCTCGCACTCCATGCACACAAGGTTTGATAAACATGGTCATCGCTTGCTGTCGTGCGGGAATCGTTGCTCATCATTGGTGGGCATCATCACAGTAGTTCAAGGAATCCAGCAACCGTGGTAATGCTCTTACTGGCCATTCGCATTGGCCTTTACCAATGGCAGTAAGCATTGTGCTAATTATGTATGGACAGTTGCTTTCCACCATAAAGGGATGCATCGGGAATGTCCTGTGAAACATTACTGGATTCGTCTTTACTCCCTGCTGAAGCAATAACACATGTCAAATTGAATGACTCTGATGTTGGGACATTGTTTGGCTTCTTCCTGGTAATTGTTGGAAATCCAAGGTCAAACAGTATGTGTGGAAAACCTTTTTTCTAAATATTAACATGCACAGGTCGTTTCTCCTACCCAGAGGGAGCAAATGGAACACCTTGAATCAACCAGCCATATCATTTGAATAAGTTCATTTAAATTTCCAAATAGGTCACTTGGGAGACATTTTGTGGTAAATTTTTCAACATTAGGGAGACATCAGTCATTAGAGAGACATTTCAATGTCTCCCTAGACATTACACATGTCTCCCTAATGCTCCAACTACCAAAGGGAGGAAAATTTTTAATGTCCACATTTTGAGAGATGATAGATTAGGCGGGGTCTGAAAGGAAAGCATGCAAAGTTTGGTTAAGATCGGATTAGGGAATATTGAATTATGGGACAGTAAAGTTTGGAAAATTTTGTGCACGTTCCTATGGGAATGTCTCCCAAGTGACCCATTTTCGGTAATTATAATATCTATAATTTTTTTGTATATAGCTATCGCATTATTTCTCATTTTTTTAACTGCCATGTTTTTTTTTCCATTATTCTTGCATTTAGGCCATGCAGCTACCAGAAGCCTGCTTGCATGCTTTGTTACTGGAATCTTCATTATATGTTGGCTGAAATGCTCTTGTGTTACTAGTCAGCCAACAAAACTCACCCAGTGAAAGTCTCAAAATTGAGCACAAGGGTGTAACAACCTCATGCAGAGTACCGTACCGGCATGTCAATCCTTGCCGTTGCGTTGACCATATTAGTTCAACCTCTGGCCTGTTGCTGAACCTAGTACTTTGTAGCAAATGTCCGCCAGTGTCCATGAACTTTCACAAGCGTACAGTGGATTAATCTTTACCCACTAATAACAGTGCCCAAAATTTATTACAATATGTCATCATGGGGTGCTTTTTTTCCCCTGTACGTTGATATTGGTCTTATCAAGCTGAAGCCATCTTTGCCACATGGTTCTAAAGTTCGCATTACTGAGACCCACTGATGCCACTGCAAATAATAACTGCATTAGACTGAACTTGCAGGTGTGTTATCTACATGTATGAACAGCCAGCAGTGGTTTAACTAGCACCCGAGTCCTGCTATTATATTCAGCTACTCACAACTAGCACCCGAGTCCTGCTATTATATTCAGCTACTCACAACTAGCACCCGAGTCCTGCTATTATATTCAGCTACTCACATACAGTTCTTCACAAGGTAGACTTTCTACAGGATTTCTTCGATTCTATTTTACAAGGCTGCTTCTTTTCATGCTGAAGTCAAAGTTTTTGTGAATTGGACACCTGTATGTAATTAGAAATTTCGTTTATTCAGGTCATTAGCTGATTGTTATACATACAATTATTGCTCTGTACATGATATATTGCAGTGGTAGACATTTAAAAAAGTTGGCCAGATATTTTTTCTGATAATTTAATTTACGGTAGTTTGTATTTGTCAAGTTAATGTTTTAACTTCTACTTCATGTCAAAGGCTTTTTTCGACACACCAGTCATCTAACTGTATGCTAATTAGCTGTCAGCGTCACCAAACAATGTCTGACAGGAGAAGAGATGTTATTGTTGTTGGAGGTGGTATAAGTGGTAAGTAGGTGTGGAACATTTCTTTGTGGATCGCCTCCTTTCAATTTTTTTTTGGGGGGTAGGGACATTTATTTCAGAATGTTTCAGATTATTTGAGCGAAAGAAGGGAGAAAGATATCGAAAGGGATATGAGTGGAACAGTGAAAGATTCATTTAATAAAATGAGGGTGATGTGATTTATAACTTAACGTACATCCTGTAATGATGCTTGGAAATGTTAAGTGCACCATCAAATGTTTCTAATATTTCAATATAATTATCAGGACCTATATTTTACAATTGAAAAATCTTATTTAAGAGCAGGTTTAACGTGTACAAATGCTCATTTGTGACAAAAGTAGCAAAATGTTTTGGTAATTTCATTTATTCCAAGGCCTGTCAGCTGCTAAACTCCTCCAAGAACAAGGTCAGAATGTGCTGGTACTGGAGGCTAGAAGTAGGGTCGGAGGTCGGACTTATACTGTGAGGGTAAGGCTAAAGCAAGGCTTCTAAAAAGTGCTATATCTGAGCTTGCAGTTTGCATCTGCGAATGACAAGCATTTCGGTGGTTCTATATAAGCTGTGTTTTGATGTTGCTAGGATCCTGCCTTCCAGTATTTGGAACTGGGCGGAGCTTACATCGGACCAACTCAGAACAGGATCATCCGAGTTGCCAAAGAGCTAGGAATCCAGAACCAGATTGTTAACGAGAAAGAGAGAACCATCAACTTTAGACATGTAAGTGGGCAAGACAGTTTATGGGCTGATGAGCAACAAATAGCCAAAAACAGGTCGACATAAAGACGGTGTACATGTACAATGCAACATTTTGGTTGGTAACCTGTTCTTGCTGAACTCCAAGTGGGTCGAAACTTTCACAAACATGTATTCAGATGATCAGAATCAAATTTGTGGCCCATTAAACACGGGTTTCCTAACTTTGCATGGAAAATCTACCACTGTAATACAAGACGTCAAATTTTATTCAAAACTGGATGCAGCATTGAACCTTCCCTAGCTTTGTGCAGCATTTGGGGCTACAATATGTGTGCCATAGTCATGGTAGTGGACAGTTACATCGTGCTGTTGAGTTTTTACACTCTGGAAAAATGTGTAACAGTGGAGTGGAAATGTCTCTAATTCAAGTGTAGTCAAGTGTTACCAAACTTTGTACATGTAGGTACTGAAAGTGGGAGAATGTGTTGGAACAGAGAGTTTATAACAGCAAACTCAGAAAGCTGAAAGAACCAAGACAGTCACTAATAGAAAAGTGGAATGGGTAAAACAAATAACTCGCACATTGACTAAACTCTGTTTAATGCAGAAAAAAAATACTTGGTGGAGTCTTCATAGTCTACTTAATTGAACAGAAACTACATGGATGAGAATTCTATTCTGAAGTATAAGCAAACAAGACTCTTGCAATGTGCAAGGCTGTTTTACTGTAGCTCTAAGCGATTTGTTGTTAACATGCAGTGATGCCTTGCACTGGACATATCCAGGACTATCAGAAGAGTATCCAAAATACAGTGGCTCATGGTGGTCCATGCTTCCCCTGGGCAATTTAGAAACAAAATAAAAAGGGCAATCGCATCCATCCTGCAGTCTGGTTCATTTCAAATGTCCACATTCTGCTTTGTGGTTGCTTTTAGATTAGAGAAACGATGAAAATTGGAGAAAATTTCAACTAGAAAAGTAGGTTTGTTCCAACGTCTGAATTCCCCTTGCATGGTACACCTTAGACTGACCACTTCTTCGTGGGCTGACCTTAGAAGTTGGCCAGGCTGTATAGCAGGTCCATGCAACGGCAATTGCCTTCTGTACCATTGGCCATCATGCATGTATATTTCCATTTGTTCTCATAGCTTACTGTACATTTCTGTGTCTGTCTTTTAAATTTATTTTTATGTACAATATGTGCTATTTTGGCAGGGCAAGGCTCATGCATTTTACCCTGATGCACTCCCCACATTTCCTGGTTTCTTGGCTTTGCTGGATATCAATAATGCCTTCAGACTCATAGACTTGTACGGTGAAGAGGCAAGTAGCCATCGACTTTTCTAAGGTTGGAATTTGGTCAATTTGATGTCATAATTGTGTTTCCTCCATTGTTCACCACTCACAGTTTCTTGTTCACTTTATCTAAACAAACTGCTAGATCATTGTTAAAGATGAAGGAACCAGTGGTTAATATAGTATCTAATTATGTGCATAATTATATCAAGGAAGAATATGTCTTGTAATTAACACCTGTAACTTCTCACCCACTTGATAACCCCAAAGAACATTCTACAAGGAAAAACTAGGTGCTAAATTTATATAACAAAACAGATTCCTGCTGCTGCACCTTGGGATGCACCGCATGCTGTTGAGTGGGACAGTATGACTCTTCAGTCATGGGCCGATGCCACCTGCTGGTGTCAGTTCACTAAGGATGCAATCACTATCATCTGCAGGGTGGATTTTGGTGTTGAGCCCTGCAATCTGTCTTTTCTCTTCTTCCTGTGGGTTATGAAAGCTGGCGGGGGTGAGACAGTTTTGTAGCATCTTAATTTTAATTTGAAGAGTGCATACATGTTGTTAATTACAACTACACGAACATTGCAGTCAAGTTTTTCTTTCAGCTCTGAACAAAAACGGGAAGTTGGGAATGCTCTTGAATTTTTCTTACAGGATTAGTTCTGTACTCCACTTGAGACAGGGTTCAAGGTTAGATGGTATCTCCCATCATGCATATCCATGTCATAACACTTTGTGTCATGCTCTTGACAAATTCTTGGAACTTGCTATATTTCAAAAGGACGATTTTGAGAGGTTTGCCCATTTTGGGCTCACGAACATGTTACGTTTTGTATATATTTGCTTTGTGGTCAATAATGAAGGAAGTCAGTTGCTTTAAGAGATGAAACTGACTGCTTTTAATGTCGGATTTTTAACTTAATTTGATGTTTAAAGAATTGCAGTTGGACTCAACTCTTTTTATAATAGACAATGAAACATCTTTTTGGCTTTTTTATATTCAGGACTCCAGAGAAATATCAGTACAACAAATGGAGGACAGGTAAAAATATCTCTAGAGAAGCTGCTATTGGAGAACTTATCGGTAGAGAGTATTTGAGAACTAATCACAAACTGAAATGAGTTGTTAGGAGTCTAAATAAACTGACTGTGGCTAGGAGTGCATGTTTCGGAAATGGCTATTGATGATAGCCAGAGGCTTTCATTCTCAAGGTCGGAATGACGTCACTGGTTCTTGATTCTTCGCAGTGATTGGTCAATTGATGGTTATTCAATCTTTCACACTCAAAACTCAAAGGGGCCAAAAAAGGATAGCGGTCAATGGGGAAAATCTGAATTATTGACTCAAACTCTCAACCTTTATGTCGAATGTGCCTGAAATTTCACTATTTGTACGCTATAAACATTTCCCACACTGTAATGAAAAGGTTTTAGTTATTTTATTACGTTGCTGCCAAAAAAGAGGAAAACATGCAAATCCGTGTACAAAGTGAATGGAGAGTTGCCCCTTTGCCCAGACATGTGTGCAATTAATGAAACAAGCTCCAACCTTGACAATAGGCAGATGTGCTATTCCCAGCCTCTGCAACAACCTTTGGACACTGATTCTCAATCATGATGTATTTCTTGCCCACACTGCAGGAAAGGAGATTTGTTGGTGGCTCCATGCAGATCAGCGAGAGATTAGCAGAGAACATTGGAAAAGGTGAGTGTACTTAGGGAACAAACCAAAACTTGGCACTATTGGAATGTTGTGCTGGCATGAATGTACATGTACGTGTAGGAATATTTATGGGAGGAACGTACCTTAGGCACATTCAACCATGCTTACTCTTGAACAAATCTGTCTTGTCTTGTTCCATCCCAATGTCCTATTCACTTTATCACCACGCAAGTAATGTACTTTGCTTCAAATGAAATACATGCATTCTGAAAGGAATGAAAATCTTGTCACTTTTTGGACAGCCCCCTTACACAGTATAAAATGTAATACTGCCAGCAACTTTTTGTCTCGTTCAAAGAGAAAATAGGAACACACTCATCAACTGAATTGTTGAAGTCTGTAAATTTACATGAGTTACAGAAAATGTCCTGTTAGACAAGGTGGTGTCGAACGTTGCACAGACTGAAAACGGAGTGAAAGTGACAACAAGAAATGGTGACGTGTTTGAGGTAAAATTGATTGATTTGGAATTCATTAATATATGGGCATGAACAAAGTCTGAGAGAATGAGGTCTACCAAAATTTTGACCAGGGGATTTATTATTGAGGGTTGTTTGACCTTTGGAATAGCCAGTATTAAGAACAGATTGTACAAAAGCTTTTAAGTGTTGGGTCAGTAGCAGGGTCCTTGCAGCAATCCCCAGATTTTTGGCAAATATTAGTAAGGCCTTCTTCTGAGCTTGAAAGAAATGTTTAATTAAAAGAGAACTTGTTCGAGACTATTTTCTTTGTACAACTAATTTTACCAAAAGGTTTCTTGCCCGACTTTATATTTAAAGCAATTTATGTCTGTCAAAACTGACTAAATTATGCCATTGAATCCAAAGTTCCAAAGTAGTCTTATCTACCTCCAGCTCCTAGAGTTCCAGTGTGTCATTCACTTACTAAATAAAGAAGTACAGATTTGCATTTTGTCAAAATATAGTAACATTTTGCTATTGCCACCATCAAGAAGGAAAGAGTGGACTGACATTTGATCTTTAACGGAAATTTGGACGTATTTGAAACCTAATTACTGTTGAGTTAGTTTGGCTAGATCGTGTCAGTATTAGAGTACAATATCAATTCTAGCTTTGTACATTAATATGAATTTTCCTTCTTTGTCTTGTGATATTGGATTATTTCATACAGTCATCCTACATGATAAGTGCTGTACCAATCACACTGCTTGGAAGGATATATTTCCAGCCTCCCTTACCTCCATTGAAAAGTCAGGTTAGCCCATATTTGGTGTTTGCTGTGTTTGTACCTCATAAATATTCATGAGCTATATAGATTGGCTGAAACAACATTACACTTTGGAAGAGAAAGTTGTACTCTCTTCAGTGGCTCCTCAGTGTGGGATTTTGGTTGGTAGCACAAACCATACCAGGTGCAGTTTGGCTTAAGGAAAAGTCAAATAATCCGGTTCGTAAGTGACTTCATCACAAAAGTTGATGCGCCACGATTTGCAGGCTTCCATTGGACAATCACAGAAGTTACATGTTAACTTTCGGTTCCATTGTTCCACATAAATGGCGATTAATACATGTAACTCTATGTGCAATGCATGTGCAGTGGGCGTGGTTTAAACTGAAGTGATGTCACACCTATGAACTGGATATACTTCAAAATTGCCAAAAATGGAAAGCAGCTCACACAAGAGACTTGCCAATCTTGGTGCCTGGAGAGTTATTTGAATAACATTTACAAAAGGAAATTTTTATCAGGAGAGTATGGTTTCCTGTTGACAAATACATTAGTCAAAAAATATTTTTAAGGAGCAACTTAAATGTCGGAACGTACTTGTTCTGTTGGACTGTTCATTGGACCATTCAAGCATTCCTTTGCAATGGTCTGACTGTCGAAACAGGGACTGTTCCATTGAACCATTCCACTGTTCCATATCTTATTAGTCAGTGTCACTCCTACTAAGACGGTCATTTCTCAGTGAACAAGTGTTGTCTGGAAGATCTAGGGATTGAAACAAGAAGGCTGTTCATCACTGTGCAAGAGCCTGGCCAAACATTTGACACAAGTTGGACATGAAAGAAGATTGGAATGGTCTGATGCATTTCATGGGGCCAGTGTGCCAAACGGAATATTCTGACTATTTAGACGTAAATGAAACCATCAGTGTGTGAATCAGACAGTTATTACAGTGCTTAGCAGTGTGAATCATTTTCAAGAAATGATCACAATTTCACTTTTAGCCGATTGTCTCATGCAGTATGTTCATTTTTGTTTTCCATTCAACACATTAGATGATTCAATGCCTGCCCATGGGTTCAGTCATCAAGACTTTCATGTTCTACAAGAGAAACTTCTGGAGAGCACTAGGTGAAGAAACCATTATAGGGTCTGTTCTTTTGACGTCAGTCGTGTTTTTCCTACAAGTGGCTGCTAAAACTGTAGTTGGCTGTCGATACAAATACAATTTTGAGCAACTTCCAAGTAAAATCGAAAACCAATCCAAAAGTGGTATTTCTGCAAATTTTGGCCGCCCGTACAAGTTGTAGGCAAAATGAGAGTGTTCTATTTTTAAGTAATACATGTCGGTAGTCTAGGCATGAGCACTTGAAATTGCATTGTGGGAAATAGTTCAGGCCTTCTTCATGGCTTGTCAAACATATTCATAGACAGTAAAAGTGATTTTTTTTATTACAAACACTTTCTTCTGACTCTTTCAATACGATTCATTTGTGCAAAGTTTGGTACCTTATTGGCAGATTCCACATTCTCGAGAGGATACATCAACAGAATAGCACAGACAAAATTGTTGGCCCTTAGTTTTTCTGAAAACCAGCTCAATCTGCCATTACTTTGGGGCCTCCTTTGCATTCAGTGATCATAACAATTCTGATTCTTTTCCTGTGTGTTGGATCTGAAGTCATGAAATATTATCAGTGATAAGTGTTTTAGCCTGTGTCATGTGACATGAGCGCATGCAATGATTGGTCATTTGCTTCTGCAGTTACAATTAACAAATGTTTAAACATGAGTGATTCAGTATTTCATTTTCTTTAAGGCCCAAAAAAAAACCAAAAATGGTCGGTCTCTGGTCAGCGCGCGTGCCGATTTTGAACATGTGCGTCAATGTTTTTGTTTTCTGGTTTTTCTCTCGACATTTTTAAACGGCGCCCTCTATTTCCACACCACCTGAATGTTCGCGAGTAGACTGATTCCTGACCACAGGTGCATAAATCGGAAAGGCAATTTGTTCAAAGAACCAGACTTATTCGTTGGCAGCTCGTACCTGGTGATAGATCCATTACGACTGCTTAATGTTGATGTCGAACACAACCAGTACACCACGGGTAGGTTACAATGTTGCAGCCAGGTGATCAACAACAATGGCGGCATGACGTGCGACGTGCTACTACTAGCCTTTGCTCTTTGATTAAATATGCCACTCATTTCGTTGTCCGTTGCCAGTCTTAAAAAGCCAACCCCATACCCCTAAAAAATACTAAAAAGAAAAACCCACATCGCTGCATCAAATCTTTGGTCTGACCAGAGACCAAGTATTTTTGGGGGGGCCTTATCAAAGAGGCTTTGTCTATAGGTATTCTCGCCTCCCCTATTTATTTTTTATAGGGGGGGGAATAAAAGATCTTTGGGGAGTCTGTTTCTTCTCCCGCTTTCCCAAAGGATGTTGAAAGCCCCAAAATGAAGCCTCACCTTTCAGAGAGGCCACAAAAGGTTATATAAAGACCCTAATTCCCTGCCCCAAACAGTTTGGTTGTGGGTCTGCCCTTGATTCAGTATTCATTCCATATCAAATTGGATTATTTTAAACCCTAGATTTCAATGGATCTGTGGTTGGAAGTGAGGGTCCAATAGTCGGCACCTTTGAGGACATCAAACCTGATGGCTCACACCCAGCACTCATGGGGTATGTACATGTAGGTGTATTGTATGTATTTTTTCCCACTAGATTTTCAGCAGGAAGGAAATCTCACAAATTGTGCCAGTTTTTGATTTTGGAACAAAAATGTTGCTCACAGCTAGTAGCAGTCATGTAAAACTCCAGTTGTTAATTAAGAGATCAATTAAACCATAGACTATTTACATGTGGCACCTGTCTGTCTCCATTTTAATTTGGATGGCATATGAATTTTTGGCAGCAAATGTTTGCAAATGCCTGCCACACACACATAAACACAGCCAGTACACAACTCAGAAGATTAATGTTTGCCCACCCCCCACCCCAAGACCTTGCAAGACACCTCATGACCAGAAAATACAATGGACTAGATTTGAGAGTGTAGCATATCTGCGAAACATTTTACTTTAAGGGCATAGCTAAGCAGTTGTTTTACAATTTTCGCCCAGGTTCATCAATGGGATTAAAGCAAGGACACTCTGTTTGCTGACGAAAGAAGAAAGGTTTGTATGGAAGCAAATTTCAACCCTTAAGCCTAACCATTCTGAGTCCAACAAGCATGTGCATGATTTCAATGCTCCCTGGGGTTAGGGTTAAGTGGCAATTTTTTGGAGAAGGGGGCCCTTTTTACAACATGCATGTAGCGTGTTGCTCTGTGTAAAGAAGAAGTCAAAATGTTCAGCATTTGCCAATTTTGATTTGGGAATTAATGATGTGAAAAGTACTGTGTGGAAGTTTGTTTTAGCCAAGTTAGCCAAGCTTAAAAAGCTGAAATATTGGTCGAAATTACCTGTATGGGGCCCATAGCTCAGTGTTATGGTCCGTGGGGGACTTGTGGGTAGGTGCCCACCACTGGGGGACTGTACCCACTGGGAGACTTGTGGGTAGGTACCCACCACTGGGGGACTGTACCCATGCACTGGGAGACTTGTGGATAGGTACCCACCACTGGGGGACTGTACCCATGCACTGGGAGACTTGTGGATAGGTACCCACCACTGGGGGACTGTACCCATGCACTGGGAGACTTGTGGATAGGTGCACCTCTTGATGTCACTCCATCCCTATTTCACTTCGTGACAGGTACTTCCCCCCCCCAGCTAGGCTACCATTACAATTGAATACTATCTTTAGTGACCATTTTCATGCACAAGTACTAGTGGTCCTAATAATTAGCTTGGAACATACTTGATAATGTATAGTTTTTGGTGGCCTTAATTATTGTAACTTGTTCTGAATGTATTTTTTGTGTAAACGTCGTAGAATTGCCATGGAGAACATGCCACTGTAACGTTTTAAAATTTTCCGTAGGAAAAAAGCCATATGTGAGTACTATGCCAAAGCGTTTGGAACAGATGAAGCTCTGCATGTGAGTAGCATTGTGACTTTGAACTCGTATCTCTGTCATCTCACTCTGTTAAACAGTGATTTTAGTTTAATCTTCCTGATGTGTGTTTCAGAAAATCAGTGCCCCTAGTTTTGTTATTTTACGCGGACTGACTCATTGACTACCAAACATTCATCCTGATGGCTGTTTTGGAAGTCGGGGTTACAGATTTGGGTTATTGTTATCAGAATAACAGTCACAATTTCCATATTTTGTGGAATGGGCCTAAAAACCATATGCTGTCCCAAGTATATGTGAGAACAATGTATATTCTCAGTTTAGAGCGGAGGTAGGATAAAATGCCCGTGAAATTTTCCAAGCAAACTGTCAACTGTTTATCTCGTTTGTAGCCCATTAACTACATGGAGCATAACTGGATGGAGGAGGAATTCTCTGGAGGTTGTTATGTGGCCACAACACCACCTGGTGTGCTCACACAGTTTGGCAGGTGAGGCAAGTTTCCAAGCAGTGATCTGCTGACAGGAAACAGGACCTAACTAGCATCAGGCAACTGACCGAGGCTTAGCCCATATAGATGTGGTAGAACTGGTGAGCACAACCCCCGGTGGGCCACAGCTGACCACTTCATGGTCAGCCCTGGGCCAGCTGTTGCCAGCTCAGTTGTCCAGGATTGTTAAAGCAGGATGTTGCTACCTTGGCTGGCTTGTTTAGGGAATGATGCCATTACTAATGGTCCAAGGTTGGCAAAAGCTAGCTTACATGTATATGAATGAATCGATGCTGGCCATGGGCTAGCACTTTGTGGTTACGGTTTGTGGCTTCCAATGATTGGGTTTGAGATTCGAAACCAGCTGCTGGCAGTATGTTGTGGCCCTTGGCAAGCCACTTCACCCCTGCTTCCTCTTTACACCCAGGTGTATAAATGGGTACCAGCATTAGATGGGAAGCAACCTGTGATGAACTGGCATCCCATCCAGAGGGAATAGAAATAGTCTCAGTCATTTCATACCAAGGAAACCAGAGATAAGCATCGGCCTGATAAGCCAAATTGGCTCAAACCAGACTTGTTTGCTTGGGCCAGCACTGGCCCTGGGTTGGTATAGGCTGGGCTAACCCATGCCAAATTTTGCCATCTCTGGGGCAAGCCTGGGCCAATAATTAGCCATTTGCGAGTTATCTGATTGCACATAAGCATAACAATTTGAATTCCTCAGACTAAAGACCCCGTTGCTATACCTTGTGATTCGGGGCAAGCGACCACCATCTCTGGAATGGACTGGTTCCTTTGTGTCCTTCTTGTCCATTGAGAATAGTGTATTGTTGCAAGGCGTCTCTTACGTAACTAAGCACAAGCTTGCCTCGAATCACAAGGTACAGCAACAGTGGTTTTAGTAAGGAGTATTCAAGTTGTGTTCATGTGAATTTTAAAGAATGCAGTGTACCAGATTTGGGTCAAAGTTAACTCGCAAAAGGCTTATTGGCCGTTTTTCAATACTCAACTTTGGCTCAACTGTTTTTTAACTAGCTGACTTTGAAGCTGTAAGCGCAGTAATCAGTCTAATAGTGCCGCAGAACATCAAATTAGATGCAAGGAAGCCAAAAAAATAATCCAATGTAATTTAAACGCCTCAGTCCCTCAATCGGGGATTGGTTTTGGGGATGAAACCTGAGATAGAGACGAAGTTGAGAATTGGAAAACGGCCATTGTCAGATGCTGGCTGGGGAGAGGCATCTGTTTCATTGCGTGGCTAATATTTCTAAACGACTGCTGTGATGTGAAATAGGATATGTCTTAACACCTGAGGGACTCTATCTGAGGGTGTTGAAGTACCCTATTTTGTTATTTTCCTAACCTGAAGTGTCAAAAAGACAACGTCTTGGTTTGTTTCTGAACAGAAAGTTGTACAATGTAAGGACTTAGTGCATTGGTCACACGTCTTAATTGGCCCAAAGCAATTTCTCTATACCTTAATATCATTTGTGGGAGGAGAAACTTTGTCTTCAAGCTCAGCAGACATTATGTTGAGGAAAATTAGAGACATATTTGATTAAACACAATGACTGCAGTGGCACGGCATTCACATGAACATTGTCCAGGAGCGATGTGCCACCACAGTAATGGCCTCTAATTCTAATTGTCTTGAATTACACTATACAAAGAAATTAACGTGGAATCATGGTTACAAAAATCAGCCATTGAAAGCACTCCAACAATTGATCTTGTGTAAGTTCACTGCTCCCATTAGTGCATGTAGGGACTTAATACACACAAGAGACTAGGCTATGCCATAATAATATGTATTTTTATGGGCTGGTCAGGTGATCATTCTGGACCAATAAATACAAATACAGGTACAAGAAGTCATGTAGGTTCCTATTTCAAATGTGCCTGTTAGTAGGACTACAGAAAAAATTGCTTGCTGAATGTCTCTTCTTGTTCAGGGTGCTTCGTGAGCCCATGGGGCGTGTCTACTTTGCCGGTACAGAGACATCCATCACTTGGCCAGGCTGTATGGAAGGAGCAGTTGCAGCCGGAGAGAGAGCTGCAAGAGAGGTACCACATTTGAGTCTAAATGTTGACGGAATCGTTGTCAGCTGCCTTAAGTGAATTCTGCTACGGCAATGCTAATTTATGCTTTTCTTTCCTTGGACTGCAGATATTGCACCAGAAGGGACTAATCCGGGAAGATGAGATATGGCAGGATGAGCCAGAATCACTGGTAAACATCTTGTCTTGTCTATCAGTATGTAGATTTCAACGGTGAGAGCACCAGGGAGAAACGTAGCCAGGACACTTCTCTGAAACGGATAGCAATTCTTCTATAATAGAGAATTAATCAGTGATTCGAATAGGTCTTATGGTTTACACCTCTTCTTTTTTGCCTGTTTTAAATTGGAAATAAGATGAAGAAATATTATATCACCTTACTTGACTCTCAGTGTGTCTATCAAAGTCTTAGTAGGGGCAGATTGAGTCTTATGTACATATGATACACAGTGCAAATGAGCCAGTATAATGTGCCAGGCATTGACACAATAGGCTGAGTTTCAAGCATTCAGCTATAGTGTTCATTTCACACACAATTGGGAAGTGGGTGTGGCTGCCTCCAAAAACCTTGGCGTTGTTAGCAACGGCAGTCAAGCATTTCAGAAGTAAGCTTGGCTGTCATGCTTGACAAAAAAGTATTCTCTTCAACATAGGCACAGATTCAGTGAGAAACCAGTTGAAATCCTAGTTTCCTTGAATTGTATTTTCATTCAGGACATCCCAGCCAAGCCATTCGACAGCAGCACCCTGGAAAGACTTCTACCATCCATTCCTGGATTTCTCAAGTTAGTTACCATGGTAACCTCCCTTGCTGCTGTTAGTGCCATCCTTTATCTCTTCTAGAGACATGATGCAACATCAGCTATCATTGTCATCTTCTTGGTTAGTCATATCAGAAAAGTCTTTTCGCCTGATGCTAAAATACCATTAATCTTTGTTTGAAAGAAGAAGCAATTTTGTACATAAAATCTTTTGTAGTTTGATAAATGGTGTATATTTACAATTTTCAAGCTATTTATTCATTCAAGATGTGCCAAGCAAATAGATACTTATTTTGAAGCGGCTCATCTCTGGCATATAAAAGAAGCACTTTAGTACTTCTGAGAAAGGATTGTGTTGATAATTGTTGACTCTTTGTCTGGTAAGCTGTACATCTGCAGGACTTTTCCGAAATTCTCAGGAGCGTGGTCTCTGTTTTAGGAAGCAAGTGTTTGACTTGTTTTTGAGAGGTAGGAAGAGCTCACATGTTAGAAATCATAGTAAATTAGCTTAACATGTGTGATTATTTTCAATTATATAACTTCCATACAGATCCTTGTCATTTGATTGGTGGAACATGCATCACGTGACATTCATTATTCCTGCCATTCATGCTGCGTCAGGTACCATTCGCCCATTTGCGGATGGTAAAAAATATACAACAGTCAGGATCATCCTTGTTTCCACGACATACAAATGGCCTTGTCCCTCAAAAGGCAGCGCCAGCACTGATCAAACCCAGGGAAAATGAAATTGGTCTGAAAAGTTAATGGGATTTGAAATTGTTCGAAATTTATTTAAAGATGAATCAAATAACAAGGATCTATATGACAATTATATAAAACAAATAATGCAATGGTAAGAATATTTTAATGAGTTGAAAGATGGAATGTTGCATTCAATAAGCTGAATTATGGAGCTTCAAAGTGGACAGCCCCATTTTCTCATTTTCTGCTAGTAGATTTTTGGGATTTCGGACTTTGCTTATAGCATTTTCAAAATACGCAATTTTCTGCGAGCAGAAATTTGGATTTTACTTTAACAACTCTTGTGGCACGTCAAAAGTGGACAACTAAAAACTTCAAATTCCCTCTGGCAGACTTACTGTCATGCTCCAAAAGTGGACAACCACCTTTTCTCATTTTCTGCTTGTAGATTTTCGGGTTTTTGAAGTTGATAAATATTAAATTAAATCTTTTTGTCATATCAATGACCGACTGGTGTACTGGCATAAAGATTTGTTCTCTTTGTGGCTATCCTTTTTTGTGATTGGAATCATTGGCTGAATACGTGTTTTGGAATTTGTAGGATGTCAAAATTAATTCAGCAAGTTCAAGTTGCATTTTTAACCCATTTTACTTTCTCTATTTTCCCCTTTTTGAAAATCTTGGTTCACTTGATTAAACAGCACTTAGCGTCTTTTCCTGACATGACTTTTTCAATTCAAACCGTTTTCCGTTCCACAACAAATTCAATCATACTACTGGACATGGATACAATGGTTTATTACAGCTAGCATCGTTTAGGGGACATATCACCATGTGCTCATTTATTTAAAATGGAAATTCCCGACGGCAAGCCGCCATCGTCATTCTAATGACATGGTGCGCTGGGAAGTCGTAAGTTTGCAGTATACCATAAAGGACTGTCGGGCTTTGGACAGCCCTTTCTTATTTGCAGGTTTCTCAATGGGAATTGTCCACATTTGCGACGCCATCCGTCAGACCATTGACCCTCTACCGTGAATGTTGGCTGCCCATCTTCCAAGACCATTCCATTCTAAGTGTAGGGAGCACTGCGGTCGTTTCAGTTTTCAACTTGTCCACTTTTGGACCACCCCGTCGTCGTCAAAGTAAAATCCTAATTTCTGCTAGTAGAAAATTAGGTTTTATGAAAAGGGGTCAGTGGTGCAACTTCAAAAAACCCAAAAATCTACAGGAAGAAAATGAGAAAATGGGGGTTTTCCGCTTTTAGAGCATCAAATAAAATTTGTTAGTGGGAATTTCAAGTTGAAGTTTTTAGTTATCCACTTTTGACGCACCATGAGAGTTGTTAAAGTAAAATCCAAATATTTGCTGGTGGAAAATTGCATTTTTTGAAAATGCTATACGCAAAGTCCAAAATTCCGAAAATCTACTGTGAGAAAATGGGGTTGTCCACTTTTGGCGCTCTATACTGAATACCATTGCACTTATAAACATTCATTATTTGTATAATATTTAACTTATTTCAACTTTACAGATGCACCTGACTTATGGGATGTAACATCGAGTTTTTTATGGTTACACTTTTTTTTATTACAACTATACGCACAATAATAGTTTCTGTACATCAAGCAAACCTGCAAATGTTTTGCTTTTATTCATATTGTTATTGGAAAGTTACTGAACACTTAACAGTTCCTAATTTCCAAGTATACAGTCCAATACCTAAGCTCAATGAAAGAATCTCTGTACATACAGTAGAAATCAAAGAAATGTGAATGTAATAAAACCAATCAATTGTAAATAGTATGTTTTCTCTGAAATGTTAAAAAACTTAAATAAAAGAAATCAAAGATTAAAATATGATTTTAAACTTATTCATTGCCTCTTTGTAGGTAGACTTAATGATAATTTACAGAAGAGATCCTTATTACCTGAGATTTCCTTTCATTTGAATTTTAATTAAAATGTTTGATTTATAAAGAACAAATCCAATATTTTAGTAATGAGCTTAAGCACACTTCAGAGAGATAGATAAGGTTTCACTTGACTGAAATAGTATTTTGAATGTTGCAAATTAAATTTATAGAGTATAATTTTAACTTGTAAAACTACTCTCATTCCATCAACGTTAGACTCTTCCTCACTGTGTACTTAGGGTAATTAACCTTGAAATAAAAACCAACGAATAATAAAATTCTTTAAAAACCTGGCTCTAATGAAACTAATGAAGCTATCAAAGTAATGATAAAACCTAACCCGCACCGTGCTCCCGGCATATCATTGCTTGGCGCTCATTTTCAACGCGCCGCTGAACCACGTGGCTTGTCGACACAGAAATACCCTTGAAAAATCGATGCTCATTTAGTCTAGTTTTTCTACCATAGCCCACAAACGCGTCAAACATTTGCTTCCTCAATTGAGTACTATGAACTGCAGATACATTCCTTTTGAAAAAAATCTTTATAAGTTAGTAAAATTTTTTCATCGATTTCACTCCGTCATTTTTTAGTGCAACATTGGAGTTTCGCCTGTTCTGGTGTAATTTTGCGAGTAAATTCACCGTTTACGCTCTCTTTTTGTTCAACGTCTCATCTTCAACCCGCCGTAACTCAGGCTAGTAGCGCTAACGTGACTCTCTCCTCAGTGGCAGAGTAGTTTCTTCTATTCATCAGCTATCTGACCACGTAAAAGTTATTTTAATTGGCGCCATTTTTCACCCCGTCTCTATGGGAACAAAGAAATATGGAAGGGCTGCGTAGCACCGTGATCAGAATATCGACAATATCAAATCAGTGCTCTGAAATATGTGTGTGCTTCCAATGAAATAACACTTTTAGATCGCGCATTCAGCCATCGGGTTCCACGTGTACATGTGCACAGCGTACATGTACATGTACATGTACGTGTGCACAGCGTACATGCACATTTGTAGTGGCCACGTTGCATCGAGACACTAAAAATTCGCGGGTGCATGGGAAAAACTGTGTTAGTAAGTCCTCTTTTTATATGATTGAAATCACTGTGCTTTTTCAACTTCCATATGTTCCTAAGAGTAACTGCTTTTACAATGAAGTTAACGTAAAAGGAACAAGGGTTTCGAAGTCTTGTACCTGATACTGCATGTGTTCCTTCCTCCATGATGTAACACATTGCACAATACTGTATGCGCTGGGCTTGGGTAGTTCTGTTTACACATTGGCTCAAGGCCGAAAAGATAAATATATGTGCGCAGTAGAGGAGCGCTTGATGTATTGGAAGGAATTGATATCCTGCTAGCTCACAGGAACGTGATGAGTGTATTCATATATCCTTTCTGTTTACCAATGTAATACACTGTGACAAGATGAGCCTTGAACAGTTTCTTTACAGGTCACTTGGACAACTTAACCTCACTCTTTGAACCAGACAACTAAAACCGCATGCAGGTTTCTGAGGAGCTCTTCAAGTTTCAGCACCAGCCCGCAGAGTAAAACTTCAGACATTCTGTGGCAAGCTCTTGACTCTGCTCTAGATGAACCCTGGTTTATTGACTGTTATCGCTGTCTGGAACACGATTGTTCCATTTACATGGGGTCACAAAAGGTGGTCTCTCATGTCTCAGTTTCAGCTAAAAGATTCAAAGTCCAGCTGATAACTCAACACCTATAGACAGACATGTCAGAAGAAAACAGGAAACTGTAGATGTCGTATCTAACGCAGAACATCATGCAAATGGACATCAGCAACAAGGACATTCACAAACAGTTTGAATTAAAGCGAACATACATTCAGTTTTGCATAACCTGGCGTAAATTCACGGAAGCCAACTTTTCAAACGACTGCAACTATAAACCAAACTACTAAATGGAATGACTAAGCTGGCTATTGATTGTTGACTCTTCCCAGTCTCGGGTGTCAACAATCACAGCACAGCCATTGTTATTAGTGCATCGATTTGCACACTCAACAACAAAACAGTCCAGGTGACATAAAAGTCCCTGAAATGTAACAATCATATCTGGCATCCAGGAAAGACAAACTATCATTTTCCATATGATGGCGGGGCCAAATACAAGATAAGCATCTGCACAGAAGAGATGGAGCAGATTTTTGTGACAAACTTTATTTTTCTCTGTTTAAGACACAAATCAGAGGCATGCTGGGTAAGAGAAATTATAATCACAGTGGTTTTATAAAAATTAACAAAACATATGCCTACCTTCATATTCGAAGAAATGTGTGCAATTTGCAACCATAGCCAAGTATTTAGGTGCAACCCATAGAGTTAAATATAATAATTTTGGAGGCTGTATGGTTAATTGTACACAGTGGAAAGAGACCGCTTTGGCCTAGTGCTTAGGGTCCTGGACTTATAGTCAGAAGGTCAGGGGTTCAAATCCAGCTAGTAGTCACCGATTGTGTCCTTGGGCAAGCCATTTTACCCCTATACTTGCACCTCCTTACACCGTGTATAATAAACTGACAAAGGTGCTACAGCTGGGGGACAACCTGTGAAGTACTAGCCTCCCACCCAGGGACCCAACATTGCATTCTCCATCTTGACTATAGCATCTCATCCAGGGACCTAGCACTGTATTCTCATTTCTTTGCATTTCTTTGGGACAGACTTGTAAGTGCTTTACTTCGGCATAGGGAAGGAGTTCTATTCATGTACATGGACATTACTGACTGCCTTTGTATACTGTATAAACCTAGCCCAGGTTGGACGACGTGTACATTGCATTGCGAGTGTGCAATGTAGGCGTTGTCCGACCTGAGCTAGTATAAACCCTTATGAGACTGCATGGTCTGAAAGGTGTTTTCTGTGGGGTAAATGCTTCCATAATTCCTTTCTAAATTTGACTTTTTAAGAAATGTTACCATTTTTTTAATGGCTGCAGGCAAAATCAGTCATGATTAGACTATGAATTGCCAGGGAAATTACTGCTCTTGTATCACAAACCAAAGGTTGAATAAAAACCAAACATTATTGAACCCTGGGGATCGGTTAATGTGCACTTTGCACAAGCCACATCAACCCAAAAACAATCTGTGTGTAGTGTTTGCTCAGTGACAACCTCTACAAATGAACTCATTTCTGTGTGCTCTCACTGAACAAATTTGGTTTGGCTGGTGACCCTGTTGAAACAGTTCAACACTTTTGAGTTGCTCTAAAGAATGAGCCGGCCGCAAAGAATGTAGTACTGTATGTGCGTGCACAGATCATGCTGTTATTAGCCAGCAGCAATGCTTTCTGTGTTTCACAAAAGAGAGAAATAGCTTTTACCAGAAGCAAGTAGTACTTTGCCAAATATAGGAAATTCTGCAGATTCCTGTTCAATACATCAAGAAAAGAACGAGATAGAAACTTAGAGAGAGCAATATGCCGAATTAAACATCTTGGCCCATCAGATTTGCCTGCTAGACGTTCTACACATATCTTGATAAACCAAAACAAAGAGACATCAAATTTCACTGAGCTAGGTTTCCTGAAACTTGCTCCTTTTATAGACTATCAAAGTCCATGTCAATTTTTGGCACCTATAAAAAATTGACTATCAAGGGACTATTTTGCTGGAATCTTGAGGGCTGTATTAGATGTCTCGGTTGTTTACAAATTACAAAATGAAATCACAATCCATATACTTTAGGACACCTGACTATTGTTTCATTCAGTTAATTTCTTCAGGATGGATAAGAAGGCTATATGACGCCTTAAGGAAGTCATCCTTTCAAACTGTTAAAGGATTGAGATGTCATCCAGGACGTTGCCAGAAATTATACTAAATTTCATCCAGGTTCAGCACGAAGTTGAGGTGGCTCGTATGCAGTTGACACATTGGTCCAGTCGGAACCCTAGCCCCTGCGCCCGTAGGCCGCGTTGGGGGAGGGGCTTCTGAAGTTCTGAGTTGCTTGCTTCAGAGTTCTGCTCGTTGGTGTTTTTTGCTTTTATGCAATAAATACATCTTTTTAATATACCGTATTTTTCGGAAAACAAGCGGCGGCTTTCACATTTATTCTCACGCTGAAAATGTCCCGGTGAATTATACTCCGGGCGGCGGCGCGGGCTCCGGTTAGGCAGCGCTGAATTGAGGAACGGCGCAGTACATGTAAAAAGTAACTTATCTAATTCTTGCTGCCGAATATTATATTAAAGCCACCGCGCCGCCCGGCCGGCCACGCGCGTGCGCATGAAAGCGCGATAAGCGGCGGCACGGCGCTCGATCGGCCGGGCGCGGAGGCAACGGAGCGATTCATGTTTGCGTTGGTTGCCGTTTATATTTAATCCACTCACGTACTGGGAATGCAGGAAACCAGTGCAGAGAGACTGAACAGAAACCATATATAGGTTAGAAAGATAATAATGATTATCTAACTCTATAATAATGATAGAAACGTACCTCAGCCCACGAATCGGTGGCGCGTCTGTTCCGTGATTTTTGTCCTTTACGGTCGTGTTATCCATGTTGTTTGTTATTTCACTGTTTATATCTGGTAAACTGTTAAAAAGAAAGAACTGCTGCATAGCCCACCTAACCCCGGCAAGGACACTAATCCCGCCTACCAAAATTGGTAATTTCGAGGACTTGAGAAAGTTCTTAATAACCGTCTCGTTCGCGCAGTGCTTCACGTTATGTGGAGATTACGTACCTAGGCGCTAGCGCGGACCCTAACATTGGGCTCTTCCAATTTTCGCTTCTAACGACTGTTTGTGGAGCAATATATTACCTTCAATCTCAGGAAAGGTGAAATGTAATCAAACTCCAAAATTCTGATTCATAAATGTCGATTTCATTTTTCCGCTGCAAAGTTCCGATGAAATTTTATTTTGGCCCGATATTTTCTGATTTTGGGGGGAAGTGCAAAAGGAACTCTTTTAAGTTTTAAATGTGTCCTATGTGAGTGGAGGTAATATTTTTTTACGAGAATGTATCAATATTATAGAGCGTCTGAATTTTTTTGCGGGATTTTCTGAGATTTTTAATAATAATGTTCATATTATTCGCTCGCCGTCACCCAGCGTCCGAGTCAGGGCACTGGGTGACTAGCACATTCCGAATACCAGGCCAATTTACGACACGCCGTAAATATTGAAAACTGGAATTATACAAGTCTTACATGTACACTATATATATGCATCCTTCGGTTCGCGACAAACATGCAACTTGTTCAAATGCACATTCAATTTCGAGACTCCTTGCTCCATGCCGTGGTTGGTCCATTATTCTGTGCATCAACATGATGCACCTCCTCATTTCAGTGCGTTTTCCAAACCTGCAGTGGTACTCGGACATACAACCCTGAAGGTGCAACTGAGCTCCAGCTAAGCTCAAGTAACAGCGACCATAATTGCCTGCCACCGAAATGCTGATGAAGCCGTCACGAACAGCTCTATTGCCTTCACAGATCACAAAATTTGCTTTTAAAAAGGTTACTATAAACTGTCTGATTGTCATGCTAACCAAAAGAAATACGATCCCAAAACTATATACATCACATGGAGTTTTTGGCTAGTTACCTGATTAATCAAGCAAGGTTTTCTCGCGCTTGAGCAAATTTCGTGTTTAAGCAGACCCATGAAATTAGCCCCAGGGTCGTCAGTGGTCTAGCTTTGATCGATATTGCATAATGCAGAAAGACTGGAGACGTAGCGCGTACAACCTGCTCAGGTCAGCCTGGCCACGCCACATACGTACACGTACCACTCTCCCCCATCCATGTACATGTACTTCTGGCAGGCCTACTTGTACATACAGTAGCTAGCTACAGGTGCCTCCGTCATTAGTCCGCAGTCGGCAGGGCTTTCCACATGCACATACCTCCACATCCACGAGCTTTCTGAGCTAGATTTGGTATGTATGTGAGCTGTTATGAGATGATGCATTGCTGAAGATAAATTAGCCACTTAAGATCATGGGAGAGGCCGAGTTTAAAAGCCTAATTACGTTGGTGACATACTCGTAAGGTTTTGCACGCATCAGCCTGCCAATTAGCTCATCTTTATGTATTATTATTATTATATATTTCTGTTAATGACACCAAGGATTCCTCAAAAGCCCTCTAGGCACTGTAGCTCGCAACTTAAGCCTGAAGAAACCTGTAGAAAGAGAGACAATAATGAGAAGCAGTTACAGTTTTAGAGCTTGGAGGAAAACCCCAGAGGAATATTCTGGGTAAAACCCACGGAATCAGGTAGGGACTGAAAACCCAATCTACATGTGGACCGGGATTCGAACCCAGGCCGCATAGGTGGAAGGCGAGGAATGAACCACTACGCCAACCTGACTCCCATATATAGATTTTTGTATTTTAAGTTGATTTATTTACAAGTTTTACTCTTTCCCGTATTAATGTTCTGTGTAACTTCCTTTTAAGTAAAATGTTTTTTGCTGTGCTTTTTAAGTATAAAGGTATTTTAATTTTTAGTGACTCTATTTTGAGGGCCTCTATGGAAAGCAGTGCTTTGCACTGATGGCGCTTACCCTCATTAAAAAGAGTTAAATAAATACTAATAACAAGGAGGCCTTCAGGAGAGTGAAAACTAATTTGATTTCAGGGGGTTATTTAGTTCTGTAAAACTGCTAATTAAGGCAAATTAATAACTGTCTGGTCATGGTCTGATGGAGTTTGTTCCATGCTTAATGGTTCTGGGCGTGGATGAGTTTTCAAAATGCTGATGACGAAATAGGTGCATGTATCGATTCAAGTTGTTTGTTCTTGACCTTCCCTCCCTGACCCCTTGGCTTTTGGCCTCAAGATGTCACTGTAGTCTTGTCCCAGTGAATTCTGTATATCCAGCCTTGTATATTTGTGTTTGTTTCTTGGTTCCTTTCGTCACTTATTGGTATTTGGTAGGATGTTTTGTTGTTTTGATTGCTGTGGTGTTGGTTTGTGTGATTTCTTTTTGAGTGTCTGAGTACTCAGTCATCTGTGACAGTAAATTGGATTTCTTGGTGTCGAAAGAACACATCATTAGTTAATAAATGGTGGTTGCCAATTTTCAAAATATTTAGCCATGTCCAAGAAATGAACAAATTAATCTTGGTTTCCTTTTTTTTGAAACACACTGTATACATGAACACGTACATTGCACATTTTGTACACGTATGTACTTTTTACATACATACATGTAAGTTGTCGTTTACTCTACAACTGACGAAATCTTTATTGAAGCTCTCCTCTATAAAATAGGGTTAACTGACTGATTGGATGGTATATGGGTCGACAGACGGACCCCTGTAATATTACGAAAAAAACCCAATTACTTACATGTACAGTAGATAATACAGCACTTACTACACACAACCTGCATGGTGCAAATACTGTGCACACACACTGGCAGTAAAAAGTCATGGGTCATACACTGTGGTTGGACAGTATCGCCTTGAGTTCTTGTTATGAACCAAAACACAGCTGTTAAACTGTTTGGACCACTGAAGGAATACCACCATTACACAGTACTTTCTTGGGTAGTCTTCACACAACACATCATAAAATGACTTAGCGCTCAAGTAAAACCTCTTAATCTGTGTTGGTGAGCATATACTAACTTTACAATCTGGCTACAATATCATGTAAAAACACTTCCAAAGTCAGAGTGTGATACTGCTTGGAATATAAATATACAATATAATTCTGGAGTAACCTGGATATACTAACTTGGCTTCTCTCCTACTACTGGCTACATCTGCCTCAACACAATTCAACACAGATGCCACTTGAGCTATATAATAGAACAGAAATTTATCCTTACAAGGTGTACAACCATCCTTAATTACAAACTAGGACATTGTTGAATTGAGTGTGCCAAACAAGGGGGTAATCAGAACAAATGGAGAGAAGAGTACACTGTAAAATAACTTCACGTTAATGCCATGATTGTGATTGATCATAAAAACAAGCTAACAATACAAGTCCATCAACATCAGAAGTAATGCAGTCTATAATACTAAGTAATCAAAATAAATTTAAAAATGATGTTACACACAGGTAGATTACTAAGGACAGCAACTCACCCCATATGGCTACTGTGTAGACTTGAGTGTCGGGCTGTTGACCAGTGGTCTGCTGGATGGTGGTGCAGACTGAACTTCTGACCCTAACATAGGCCCTTAAATGGCTGTTATAGTCTCTTGATGGACATTTCCTTCAAGAATATGATTGGTCCCTTGCAAGTTTGACCAAACCTTCCTTAAAGTTTGATTTGCATATAAGCTTCCCATTGGTCAAATCTTTGAATGCTCATTGTGTAACTCTGCTAATCAGCAGGATCAGCAGATTTTCTCCCTGGTTCTAACAACCTGCAACCCCCAATTTGATGAATCTCCCAAACAATGAAAACTAACATTCGGTTTCTAAAAATACTTGGCCAGGACTGTGGGAAAGTTCCCCTAAAACAATGGACTGGATTAGCAAGTGGGGTAAACATCATGACCCCCATCATTGCATACCACAGATAGTTCCATTTAGGTTGCATAAGGTTGGAAAATATCCCGGGAAAGAGGGGAGCAGAATAAGAAATGCAAGACATCCCACACAAAATATACATTTTTCCATTTCCTGACAGGACGTAAGATGATTTTGATTTTGTTTTAAAAATGAGTGCCATTTCAAATGCTTTAAAGTGATGTACGTTTTATCTCTGTTGGTGCTTTACTTCAGGAGATACAGTATGACTGTCTAAACAAAGGCTAATTAGTCAAAAGTTCGTTAACCAGTATTTCAAAAACTAATTAACTGATTGAGATGAAATTTGAGTTCTTTGGGTTTCTCAAGGAATCCAATCAGCACACCAAATTTGGTTTCAATCTGTGGTGGTCAGGTGCAAATTAAGTATGTTGAACTGACACAGAATGACCCCACTGTGTTTCCCTGTGTTTTGCCTGTCAAGCTGTTTAAATTGATGCACTATGATTTATTAATGTATGCATGTTGGGTGCAATTAGTCAATCAGCACAATTGCGTGATCGCAATTTCACTAGTAGATCCAGTGTGAAATCTTTGGGTTTACTTTCCTTTTTCAAAGCAATCTTCCACAACCAGGAACTAGAAAAAAAGCAGTTGGTTGCATCATGGAGGACGTGTTCCTTCCTCCATGGTTACATGATAGCAAAATTATCAGGAAATCTTGTGAAGATCAACAGGTTGTACAAAGATCCAGCGATTGGCCAGATCAACCAATCGTACCCAATATGCATATTCTGTATTATGACCAGCGTCACAGCCATGATTAGCAGATATAGGTACAGATTGAGTGTATGTCCACTCCTCTAGTCTTACGGAGCAAAAGTAGCCTAACAGCATTTCGTTTTAATTTTCTCTCTGTGTCCTCCAACAATAATCATCATTTTTGCAAATTTGGGAACTCAAAAATACCGGGTTCCTTACTACATCTATTGCTATCATAAACAAAAAAGTCTGCTCACTTGCTCAAAAAATATCTTGGGTAAATTGCACCAATTGAAAGCCCCTCTGGGCTGTAACCTTTTGCAGCTCTCGTATTCAACTTCCAAATTTTAACATACTGCAGCTAGTGCTTGCATTATGACAGTGATGTTGCAGTGTTTCCTTTCCGACCTCCATGGTTCAATCCAGTTTGCCCCACAAGGTGCATATGCAGGCTCCATGTATACATGAAAGTCAAGGAGATATTGTCCATAAAAATATCCAGTGTGAGCACACAGATTGCATTCATGTGCATACATGTTCATGTGCATACATGTTCATGTGCATACATGTTCATGTGCATACATGTATGCTTTATGGGATAATAACACCCTTACTCTGTCAGTCAAAAAATGTATGATACACGTTCAAGTGGTTTTTAGATTATGACAATCAACCTTAATTTTTGTGAATAAATTTACTGATTGCTTTGTTATGATGTTGGACATTAGAATCCCTTATCAGCAGATTAGTGCAGAGATAAACGTAAACAAAAGTTATGTTTGCATTTGTATAAACAAGACATCAAACACTGTTCTAGACTGGCACTGACAGTCACAGCATCAACCTGTTCATATGCGTTGGGTAACGCTTGTTGTATAAGTAAATCTAGTAATGCTGTCAGAAATTCTAATTGGTTGTCATTAGTGCTGGAGGTTTCTTAGAGGCCGTTTTATTCAGAAACCAGTGCAGTTAATGGTCGTATTGTACTTGTGTAATTAAGGTGTGGAAGTAACATAACTTCAGCAAGGATATGAGACAGCTTATTGCACCTGCTGTGTATGGTGGAAAAAACAGTCCATTGGTGAGGTGTGAACACTTTTCTCAGTTTTGATCTTTCTGTCTATCATTTGTTTGTTGTAGTCTCCAGAGAGTTCCTCCTTCATGTCATCGGTGTGCTACAAGTGAATCAAGCGCAGGACTTGTTGAGCAATGTCAAAGGAGAAAAGAGACGTTATCATTGTTGGAGGAGGCATAAGTGGTAAGTGGATTGCTAAAAAGAAGGTATTCTTGAAAGGTTATATTTGAATTCAAACTCCAGATTTTGAACAAGTGGCTTAGATAGATGTTAGTGAGGTAATTAAAATACAGGGTTTTTTGGCAGTACATTTGCTGTGCACTATACGGTGCAATAAGATTTGGATTGCCGAATGTGAATGCCTCTATTTCACTTTGAGACCTACACGAAACACTTAACCCATTAGCTACTGGTTAATTAGGGTAGAATTAGGGATTAAGGCAGAATTTGAGATTTTTTTAAAAGAGGTCTTATGCTTTTGCTAAAGAGAGGGATGTTTTCAATAACATGGAGAAACAAAGTGTGTGGTGCACATGCAATTCTAATTGGGCTTTTTCAGACCTCTTTGGGAACTATCGTGTCTCTGATTATAGAAAATTGAAAGTCTTTGATACAGCTGCATGGACAACAAGAATAAAGTTTGTCTTCTTCTTATCTGTTGAAAGGCCTGTCAGCTGCTAAACTCCTCCAAGACCAAGGTCAGAATGTGCTGGTACTGGAGGCTAGAGATAGGGTCGGAGGTCGCACTTATACTGTGAGGGTAAGGAAGGCGGTGCATCTGAGAGTTATCAGTTTACACGTTAAGAGTACTGTTTTTGGAATGATTTCCCTGAGATGTTATTAATGAGGTCTAATCATGCTGTATCCGATAGTATTCTACATAGTTTGCACTGAACCTCAAGGGTATTTCAAAATCCACAAAACTTGAGTGTGATTTGGTGAATTGTTTCTAGGATCCTGCCTTCCAATATTTGGATTTGGGCGGAGCTTACATCGGACCAACTCAAAACAGGATCATCCGAGTTGCCAAGGAGCTGGGAATCCAGAATCTGATTGTTAATGAGAAAGAGAGGACCATCTTCTTCAGGAATGTAAGCTGTTACAGATTAGGCCTACATGGACCTATGTATAAACAGAAAAGTACTGCTCAGGGCAATTCATGTGCAAAACGAAAATAGCAGTGAACTAGTTGCAGGTACTATAAATCTCATTACACCGTGGCTGTTAACCAGTTTCAGCTCAGCGAAAGTTGTGTGTGCTTAGCCAAATTTTATACTTTGAACTCCTGGCATTTGACCCCATGCCAGGTGTAATTGATGTTTAGTTTTTAAGTAGGCTTTCCGAGGTAGACAAAATCAAAACAAGTTTTGTTTTCAGCCTGGGTATGATTTCTCCACAGAAATGGAAAGGTGTTTAGGGGGGATGTGATATTAGATAGATAGTTAGATATGTTGTTGTCTTTTCCTTCAAGCATAAAAAGAAAATGAAAGTTGGTTTCCTGGTGCTATAAAATTATATGTACATAAAATACAATACAACACAACAACTTGCAAATATAAACAAATTTACAGTCATACAATGTATGTGTATAAAAGTGACCGGTTAAATCACAGTTTCAATTCTCTTAAAAATGCCAAATTGGGGGAAGTATTGCTCATATAAAATGTCAGATATAGACCTTGTCCTATTCATTTCAATCATCTTTTAAATGTCGAGGTGAAGGCATGCCTTGTACTTTGCAGACAGCTTTTCCTGAACCTGTCTGTTTTTACCCAAAGCCAACATGCTCTCTCAGACTCATGGTCCTAGAAAAAAGCATTTAATGGATTAGAGGGGTTGCTTGATATCTTTTGAAAATGGACCAACTGTCTGTTACCTCCGAAACTTGACCACTTGTGACATCACACACAATTATTTTGCTAGCCATTTTCCTTATAATATCAGATTTTGTCCTATTCTTGGCAGTGAGAGAATTGAACCAAATAATTGAGCAAAACATAACCACTTACTGAATTACAGAAACATAAAACAGATAGAGAATGTCTACATGTCCACTTCAAAGGACTTCAGCTTCCAAAGAAAATACAATGACTGCTCGTGTTTTAGTTTTACTGCTCACATTCTGTCCGGCCTAGATCCTTAACCTGTGGCTCTGCCACAGAAGCACAAATTCAGTAATGCTTATAATGTGCATCTCTCATTTTAACAAAACAGTTAATGTTCATGTGAAGTATGTGCTAATGTTCAGGGCAAGCCAAATGCATTCAGGGGAGCCATTCCGACACTGCCTGGTTTCTTCACAACGCTGGATATCAACAATGCTTTGAGACTTTTGGACTCTCTGGGTGAGGAGGTGAGTTATGCATGCAGTATTCCCAGGATTACATCTTCCCATGAGATCTTCTCTTCCACCTGCCTGTGGAAACATCCCTGTGCATAGAAATACTCCCATGTGCTTCCACTTTAACTTTCAAATGGGTTGAACTCTATTCTTCACATAAGGCAAGTTTTGCAGCCATATGGCTGCTGTGCCCATTAGATGAATTGGAGCCCTGTTAACTACAACAGCTCTGTGGAAAGTTTTTGTGATTACTTTCGGCTTGTGGGCCCTGAGCGGGACCGAGAGAGGGCGCAATTTACCTAGCAGCAGAGGCTGCTTTGGTAGGTGCAATTTTCTGGTTCATAATCAACTGAAATGCATGCGTTGTGGTCACATTCACGGTGCTTCTGCTAAAGATGAATTGAATTAAGCTAAGCCTAACATCCAAATGGACACAATTTTGCAGTTTTTAACAAAAAGGTCTACTGGGAGTAGCACAACTTAAGCCCTAGTCTTTATAGTCAGTTAGAGGATTTTGTGTTTTCTTCTAGACACATATTACACACTGGAAACTTAATTAGAATAGGATTTTGATGTCTCAGTTTTTTATTCAAACAACCACCTGTCTTAGCGTCTTTTCACCCAGAATTTGAATACCACACGGATGTGAATTGATTCAAGTAGCTCAAAGTCAATCTTTATTCTTACATTGCATTGCTTTTTTGTGTGTTACAGGTCCCTGCTGCTGCGCCGTGGGATGCACCACGGGCCGTTGAGTGGGACAGCATGACAGTTCAGTCGTGGGCCGATGCCACCTGTTGGTGCCAGTTCACCAAGGAAGCGATCAATATCATCTGCAGATTGGGTTTTGCCACTGAGCCCTGTAACGTCTCCTTTCTCTTCTTCCTTTGGTACCTCAAAGTTGGCGGGGGTGAGTTTTTATGGCGTTTTTTAGTTTTTTTCTTTTTTCCCTGTTTTTTCTTCTCAGTACGGAATTACACAACAGGGTTGAAGTTGAACTTTTGTCTGGGGCTTGCCGCAGGCAGAAACACTGTAAAAGTTGACATGTACTGATGGAATCCAGGTGATTTCAAATCACATTATGGACTAAAGTCAGGACTTGATTTTAACTCCGTTGCTAGCCCAGTCATGGCCATGGACACCAGAATATGTGGTCATGTATGCCGAAGTATTCTTGGTCACTTTGGTCGTGAAATTACATTGGCAACATTGTAATTTTGCTGATGTTCAACATCATTTTTACCAGGATTACCTCAGTCATTTAGGACAGACCTAGTGGAGTATAGAATGAATCAGTACATGAAATAGAATTCAGTTCACTGTTCTCTTGTTATAGCAGGGCACTCAAAGTCATTTTGTCTTGCTCTTTGCATTTAGGAGTGCTGAGGTTCATGAGTACAACAAATGGTGGTCAGGTCAGTAAGATACCCATGTGCGCAGTTTACATCCTTCTTTCGTATGAGGCGGCAGCAGCAGCTAGGTTGTTTTGAAAGGTCTCTAACCACATTGTGGTAACAGGATTGGATTCATTGAGGTCCAGGTCTTGATACGTTGGTATCAGGTTGTTAACTTGAACTGAAAGAGTTGATGTAGGCCTATTTCTTACTCTGAAGTCTTGATTTTGTTACTCTTCAGGAGAGGAGGTTTATTGGTGGCTCCATGCAGGTCAGCGAGGGATTGGCAAAGAAGCTTGGAAAAGGTGAGTCAAGAAATCTCAGGAATTGCTCTTTCCTGTTGGGAAACCTACAGACACAGTACATGTTTCCATAGGAATGCAGTACATAGAGTAAAAGGAACAGGAATGTTGTGGATTTTGAGGCTAAACAGACTTATAAGTTGCCTGATGTCGCAGGATATAAGTGGTGTTGTGTCATTAATTTTGTCTCATTTGCAGAAAATGTCCTGTTGGAGCATGCAGTGTCAAGCATTGTGCAGTCTGATGATGGAGTGAAAGTGACAACAAGAAATGGTGATGTGTTTGAGGTAAATCACCAATAGATTTTCTCCAAAATCATTCTCCTGTACTCTTGACAATCATTATTTAGCCCAATTTGCTTTTCTATGATGTAAGTGGAGTGATGTTTCATTTCTGTGCAGGCATCTCACATGATAAGTGCAGTACCCATTGCACTGCTTAGCAAGATAACGTTCCAACCTCCTCTTCCTTCATTGAAAAACCAGGTTAGTCCAAAGTTGGGCCCTTTTTACATTGTGCCTTTTTAATATTCATGAGCTGTGGATACACTTGTTTCATTGGTCAGTGTTTCATTTTTTTAAATGAAACTAAAAATGGCCATTTCCCCCGAATCTTATATTCCTCCAGTTGCTCAAAAACTTGAGTTCTTCTCTTTAGTCCAAGAGTATATGTAATGACAGAATCTATAATTTAAACATAACATCTGCTTCTTTTGTGCTTCGTTGTTTCAGCTCATTCAGCACATGCCAATGGGTTCTGTTATCAAGACATTCATGTTTTACAAGAAAACATTCTGGAGAGATCGAGGTGACCACATTTTACACGTTTTTCTTTTGTTAATGAGTTGCATTGGGTACTTCAAAATCACAAGTTGCTAGTAGAAGTTGAGACATGTTTTCATTGAATACTTGTCAGTTGCTTGGGTCTGCCATTTGTTTTGAGACCATCTAGATTTCATTTGACTGTATGATTTCAGCAAATTTAATTAAACTTATAGTGTATTATGCCCTACGCTTTGTACAGTACTGACAGTTGATTTCACCAAAAAGTTGCCTAGCTACGCAACATTTTAATCGTATTAGTCTTACAGACAAGGAAAATTTTGGCTTTTATTTTTATGTCATTCTTTTAAGTGTTAAATAGTCATAAAACAGTCATTGAATTAGCTTTAATTGCCGTTCTGAAAATATTTTCACGTTTTCTTCTGAGAAAGTTCTCTCACAGCCCGAAAACAAACCAAAGTTATTCATTTCTTGAATAAACCTTTTTAAATTCAGCAATGACGAGCCTAAACTCAGCATGATTTGTAAGCAAAATCAATCATTTCTGATTTGTTTGTCTCAACTTATGCCATTTAAAAACTTATTGCGTAAGTCACACCGTACAGGGGAAACATTTGGGAAATTCATTGAAAAACTTTTGAGGGAAATAAAGTTTGACCATTTCTATGTTTCACAGTAATGTTACTTGTAGCAGAGTTAGGTCATATTTAGATATGGCTGTCACACTTGCAGATTACAACGGAATTATTCTGGGATTGGAGGGTCCTATAGTTGGCTGCTTTGAGGACATCAAGCCCGATGGCTCACACCCAGCAATCATGGGGTATGCACTGGTTTTCTCCTGTCCAAATTTAAAAAAAACTTCTTTGGCTGTTGGTAGTCACATCACTGACAGTGTTATAAACCTTCCTGTTGCTATGTTACATTCTCAGTGTTTGCAAGCCAGCTTGGCAGCTGTCATAGTAAAAGAAATTATGGTCCAAACAGATTTGAATAAATTGCATATGATGGTTTTGCAGTTGTTAGTGTTGGAGCAAAAGACACTGCTCAAGCCACTCATTAAAATCTCACCTATTGAAATACAACAGATGTAAAATGAGCCATTCTTTAGAAACATGTATAAAACTATGGTTAAACTTTATGCATAGATAGTCACCCTTACCAAATGGTACCAAAACCAAGAAGATGTCAACTAAAGTTGACTCTGTTCAGTTATTCTTATTTTGCCTGTGAGCCAGCAATATTTTAGAGCTCTTACATGTAGACAAGTTCCAGCTGGTCACTTTTCCCTTTCTTTGGAACTCTATGGATTGATGGGGAGCCATCCTGCTCTTGGCATCTGGAAAATGTCACCTTTCCAACGCCTGGTTGAAATTTCATTTTTTGTACATAAGTAGCAGCAGAAAGCAGCCTAAAGCTCACCAAGATTTTTCTGTCATGATTCTGGTCAGAAATGTTGGTTATACTAGAAGTTAACGGAAGATTATTGGGGGATAATCTGTGCCCTCATTTTGAATTTTGTTGAAGGTTCATCAACGGAGAGAATGCCAGGAAACTCTGCTTGTTGACCAAAGAAGAAAGGTTTGTAAGAGAGAGCATGTAACAATTAAGAAATAATACTTTTCGTGTTGAAAATGGACCTCTGAAAGTATCCACGTGTAGTCCATTCTGACATGGTCACTGGAAATTCTTCAAAGTATTTGGTCTCTGTGCTTGCCATTGTCCACGATTTTGGCAAACTCGTAAAGAAGGAATAAGGGCTTTTACCATTTGCAGATCCGAAGGGTCATTAGCTTGGGGAGCTGGTGCTTGATTTGTCCAGGGGGAGGGGGAGAGTCTCCGTGCCCTCCCACCCCCCACTGGCTCTGCCAATGTCTATACTGGCCACTGCTCCTACTGCCCCATCCCTTGAAAAAATACTGGCTTACCCTGAAACTGAAACTAATTTGGAGCCAGTTAGGGGCCAGAATATTTAACACTGAGAGGGTTGGCGCGAAAAAGATGTCATTTGCAATATTGTAGTCGGCCAGTCTGTTAATACATATCGACGATCATCATGCCACAAAAACACTTGTTTGCAGGAAAAAAGCCATATGTGAGTACTATGCCAAAGCGTTTGGAACAGGAGAAGCTCTGCATGTGAGTACAGTGACTTCTGGTATTACATCCTCATTCGGACATGTTTATCATTCACTTCAGTTTCAAATTCATTTCAATTTTTGTAATAGAATCAATACAGTGTATTTATATGTATATCGTATATGTTTATATATTATTGTATTTTACAATCATGATATTATCATGATTTTAAAATTAATAATTTCTGTGGTTAAGGTAATTTATTTTGCTCTTTGGAAGATTCAACCAGAAATGAGGTCCTAGGAGTTGCGTCAAGTGAGAATCTGGTCCTACAACATTCATCAATGAAGTGACTCTGGTTTTCCATTTAAAAACATGCATACACTCACAAAACAAGTGTCCTGTCCAATAGAAGGTTTTTGCAACACACTACTGCAATGCATTGGAGTCTAAATACTGAATTCTTCTGGAGGGATCAGTATTTTAACTAATTGTTTTGAATGTTTTAAATATCCTGGGATCACTGAATGGGTCACAAGAAACAGAAAAAGAGAAGCTATTAAAACAAGGTGGTATTTTATATATATTTTTTGGATGTATCACTCCAAAATCTAGCCCATCAACTATGTGGAGCAAAACTGGATGGAGGAAGAATTCTCGGGAGGTTGTTACATGGCTGCCGCTGCCCCGGGTGTCTTTACACAGTTCGGCAAGTAAGTCCTCTCTCTGAGCAGCCTCTGTTACTTGTAACCAAGCCTAGCGATATGAATTGTGCCCCTTCAAACTCGGATACTTTGAATTCACAAGGTTGGTGGATGGTTTATCTAATACAAAGATACAGATGTTTACTGATCCGGCTCCTAGAAAGACTTCTCAGCTCAAGAGACAATTATTTATATTGGACGTCCTTTGTTGTTCAGGGTGCTTCGTGAACCCATGGGCCGTGTCTACTTTGCCGGTACAGAGACTGCCAACTATTGGTCAGGATACATGGAAGGTGCGATACAAGCTGGTGAAAGAGCTGCGAGAGAGGTAACACTTCCGAGTCAAATATTGATGTGCTTTTCAAATCAGCCAATTGAAAGATTGCAATCTGCTTACCTGGTGATTCAGTGGTTTTTATGTTGACAATTGGCGGGAGGTTCACGGTTCGATTCCAGTCAAAGGAATTCTGTGAATGTTTTTTGCTCAGGTTGGTTAAGGAAAATTGAAAAGTAAAACATTTCTTCACTTTACAAATAGTTTTTAATGCAATGAGGTGTGAAAAGGGTTTATTTTACACCAATAGCTCTCTTTATGCAGCACAATGTAATTTGACCCCAAGTTGTGCTTGGTCTTTAGCTTCACAAGGACACGAGTAAAGCTCTTTTTCCCTTAAACTTAAATTGATGTGTTTTTTTCTTGGATTATAGATTTTGCACCAGAAAGGACTGATCAAAGAAGATGAAATATGGCAGGATGAGCCAGAATCACTGGTAATCGTCTTGTCTTGTCGGTTTGTTCATTGGTCAAATACACATAATGTGGTGGAAAACCCGAAAGTCGATAGTGGATACTGTCTGGTTTCCGGTGACTCAGTGTGATGTGACTTCACATCAAAGAAATAGTAAAGTTCCATAACATTTTGCTTGAATTTTGATTTAATGGGACTAACCTGTTTTTTGGAAAACGTTCACATTCAAAAGTATATGCATGGAGCTTCTAACTTTAATACTGTGCTAAGCAGTGAAAATTGCTGCTCAGCACATACATTTATTATAAGAATAAACATGTGTTTGGCTGGTCTCAAACATTTGTTAAGACTTTGTCAGGAGAATGGATGTTGATAACGTGGGAGCCAAAGGCAAGGGAAGTGAGCAGTGTCCATTCGCTGAGCTGGCCAAGACTGACCAAGCGCATATTCCCATTCATAAATACATTTTTAGTCACAAAGGCCTACCAAGTTTTTAAAATTACAATTTTCAACAATTTGTTTGAGAATGTTACTTTGTTTTGTTCAAATGCTCGTCTAGCCATATTATGGTCATTTCTTTCAAAAGTAGTTTTAAACAACCCCCTAGAGATCATTATGCACGTGTGACGCATACTGCATAAAGTGGCACAGCGAGCCAATGCCTTATCGGCTATTTGAGACTGGCCACTTGACGAGCTCTCGACCAACAGGAATGGCTAAATTGTCTCGGATACAGTGTTCTAGCCACAGTGGGCAGTGCCAGGTGGCGCCACCCGATACTGCAAATTTCTGCATGGCTCAAGGGTTCAAATTGGCTGTGCTGCCCAGCACAGATTTTCCTCAAAGGAACGGAAATATAAATACTGAAAATGTACCAATTCGATCGTATTTCAAGCATCAGAAAGCATTGAGAACATCAAGCTAACATTGTTACAAGACCCGGATGTGAAATTATGGGATATAATGTAGCCTCCCTCGAGGCAGCATGCATGTGTTTGTAGTCTTGGCTTAAGACCAGCTGATTAGCGATATCAATAGAGGGTGCAAATCCAGTCCGGCTATAAGCCAGGAGAGCTCCGCTCACTGCGCTCACTACGCTTTGCAATCCACAAATTTTACGCGGCACTAAAATGGTCCTAGCCAGAACACTGCTCAGGTATATATGAATAATCAGTATTTTCTACTTAATTATGGGGTCAATGAAGTGGGCCCAAATTTATCCCTAAAAATAAACAACAGTGTAGGCATGGACCAGTGTCATAAGAGTGCCTTTCACTTGCTGTCCGTGCTTCAAAATGCGCTCATGCCTTGGTATCTGAGAAGCCAGTGACCTCAGTACTTTCCTTGAATGTTTCACCATTTAGGACATTCCAGCCAAGCCATTTGACGTTAGCGTCTTGGAAGGACTTCTGCCCTCTGTTACAGGATTTCTCAAGTTTGTTACCACGGTAACATCCCTCACTATTGTTGGAGGCATTCTTTACCTTCTCTAAGGCCAGGAACTGGTCATTTTGCCTCCAAAAAGGATTCAGGTCTTTTGAAAAAAAGATACCAGCAATAATGGTGTAAGTAATTTCAGTTTTGTGCTAGGAAATCAGGCTGACTATTTCATATCACAGTAGTATATGGTTTTGGTTATTTTGTATTTGTTTTTTTGGGGGGGTTATGAAATTTGACTTTACGATTTCATAGAATATCCCTTTGTGATTTTTATCTACATCCAACAATAAAGTATTAGTTCAGTCAAGATGTAGTTTAGACTAAATGTGATTGAATCTTAGAAACAATGAACATGGAGTAAGTTAATCTTCCATTTGGAGAAAATGGCCTCTGGATCTTATCCTAGCTATTTTGGGATATGACTTTTCTTAAATCAAACATTTTCATGCAGGGGGTGCGAGATTTAATCCAACTGCAGAAAGGGATCAATGGCAGCATTTTGCTATTCATAAACTTCAAACTGCGTGGAGGGCTTCCACAGACAGGTTTCATATGAATTGCTTTCCCTCTGGATAACTCCCCTGATTTGAAGTTTTGTTTAAAAAATTAAACAAAAAATAATCTTCTTTAAGAATTGTGAAAGGGTTGTAACTCCCAATTTATGCTCCAAGACATTTATTGAAAATTATTCTAAAACTCGAAAATGAAAAGTTGTTTGTGTTAAAGGGTAGCTGCAAAGCAATTTTGTTTAACATAATCCCTCAAAATGCACCTTTACATATTTCAGTTAACCTCATTCTCAATTCTCATTTCACTATTTCAAGGGGTATTTGTTCCCCTTTTGGTTTTTATACTAATGAGTATTATCATATTCATATTCAAAACTGTGATGTCATCCGAGGATAGGAATCTTAATGTTGTATTTGTGGACAGAAAACTGCTGAACTTTCTAGATTTTGCTGGCCTAAATTTGGTGATTCATTTTTATGTAGCAGTAAACAAACTTGCAACCCCTTCTTAGGAATGTTTTCATTGAGTTGATTTTTGGTTCACAATTTGAACAGAAAGGACTATGCACTGAAACACGCCTTGCCTGGATGACATCACAGCAACAGCACCCTCAGTTGTCAAGGAAAGCAGTGGCAATTTTTTGATGGTTTAAAAATTGCACTTTTCAATGCGTTTAACCAAAAAGGGATGTCAAACAAATTTCTTACGTTGAAGAAGAGCATAATGTTGTAGAAAAATATGGTCTAAGAAAATTTCATGAGAACTACACTTTAAATTTAAGAATATGCAGGGAAAGTCTCAGGAAAATATGCAGCCTTTTTGAGGGAGGAAATCTTCATCACAGAATTATGTGTTATACTTCGTTTTCCTTTAGGAATCACTCTATTCAGGGCAAATCAACAATGCACATCAACAATATAAAAAGAATGTGTTAGTTTTAAAAACTTAGCACTGCTTTTTTGCTTTAGCTAGAATAGACTTGTGTCCGTGCATTGAATTCTTGTATACATGTATCAAGAATGGTTTCCCTTGTCAAGAAGTAGCCATTTGTGTAATGTTATCCATTACATTTACTGTAGTTAATGCGTTTTGCATAATTGATTATGCAACACTATATCTGTGTGGATTACAGCAGTGTTGAAATAAATGTGTGTACTGTTTAAACTAAAAAAATGTTTTTGTATTCACAAAGCTAGAACAGTATAGTGATGTCATTTTTCTTAAGTGTTTCTTGGCATGTGTGTAGTTGTTAGGTGTATTTTAAATTTCTAGCAAGAATGAAAAGTGAACATTTATGATGTGTATGAGATTGTATCTTGGTTGGTATAGTTTCATAATTTTGGAGTAGTTTTATCAATTGATAGAAATGGATACCTTTGTGTTTGCTTTGAGAATATTTTCCATCTTTTCAACTTCTTACAATTAAATTTTGGACTCTCAGGTCACCAATGAAATAATTTTAGGTTTGATCATCTTGTTCAGTTTGATGCATAACCAGCAGAAGCAGTGTGTTGACAGTATAAGGGGGTAATATGAGACAGAATGTGTGCACCTAGCACCTGCCCTCCTTTTCAAACTGCATTTGCTCCACCCCCACTCCATCCATGCTTTCTACCAGTGTGTGCTCCACCATCAAGAACATTCCATCTCTGCTGTTGCATATTTTCTTATAGTGCTTTAAAGGCGAATATAATTTTGATGAGTTTGATTAATACCGCTATATCATTTTTTGTGAATTCTTTCATTTATTTTGGTAGTTTTAATTAATGTGTATGTGATAGTTTCAGTTAATGTGTTTGTAACTTTGAGGATTTTATCTGTAGAAAATCAACCACTGGTGGCGGAAGTGGGGGGGCAGTGACCCCCCACTTTTTCAACTGGGGGGGGCCTGCCCCTCCCCAGTTTTTGCAGGTCCTATAATTGGGTGGGGCTCAGTGGATTGAACTATTAATGGCTGATGCCTGATGGTGTAACAACTGCCCCCCACTTTGAAACTTGTTTTGCTGTCGCTGAAATCAACATATGTAAAAGCAAGCACATTTTATCTGCATTTAAAGTTCTGATTTGCTGAGCCTTTTAGGTCTTTATTCTGTTAAAGGACTAGGTCCCTACTGCTCTTTTGGTTTTAGTTTGTTGACAAAAATGTAGTATTTTATTGCTAGGAATAAATGAAAACAGTAACAAAAGCAAAAAGTATACTTATCTGTATTGAAGGTGCTGAAATGGTTTGCTTTTAAAGTATGTTTGGAACAGGTGATGCATCCTAAGAAGTTGCTCATCGTAGGAAAAATAAGCATAGATGTGTTTGATCATGACTGTTATCTGGAGAACTGCAATCTTAAATTTGTTTTTTCCTTCCAGTGAAAGTGGAATGCGTTTACTGAATTCGGTAAATACGGCAAAAAATTAATTTCAAACATTTTCAAAGGGTTTCATGTCTCAGAAGATTAACTCGAGTTCATCAAATTTTACTTTGATGCCGAGCATCTTGGCGTCGTTGGCCCTCTGCCATTCATTGATTGCGCCCTCCCAACTGGCCGGCGCGGCTGCGCCGGTTATTAGTTCATTTGTGGAAACAGCCGTCGGATTCAGGGATGTCTCACCTATCCATATATGGCCATAAAAATGACATCATCGGTTGTGAATGTGAAAAAAGCGGAAAGGTCAGTGACCTCCGACTCTGATAAATTTAGATAGGACTAGTACCCCTACTGTGAGCTTACAAAATTACGAGATGACCAGGCGGTACCTGTCTAGTGTAGAGTGTATAGTACCGCACGGGTTGGCTAGCTGCTAGCTGGCGAGGAGCCGGAGCTCAGACGTAGACGATCCTTCGTACTTTCAGGCCAGGTGGTACGATTGGAAGAGAAAGATCAGGTAGCTTTCCTCCGATTTCTGTTGTTTAATAAAGGTTTTAAGTTTCTAATGACAGTGATTACGTTTTATAATACCAAACAGAAACGTGTCTGTTGTAGTTTGTTTGTTTGTTGGGATCGAGATAGACAGGACTCTGACGGACATCAAGAGCCAGAGAGGAAGGAAGCAACCGATAGCCTCACGAGTGTGGCCCGGAGACAACTTCTCCATCATGTCCATGCTTATTAGCGGTACAGGGTTTACTAGGCGTGTTGTTGGGCATGTTAGGATACGGTAAGGGGAGTTCCCGGGCCGGCATTCGTGGGGCAAGCTAATTATTAAGAATAAGCCTTATCAAACATTGTCCCGTTTTCCTTCCCACAATTCCTTTCTATCATGCGTTAGGCCTAAATATATTTACTATTTGTGATAACGGACATTAACGGATAAGGCTTACGAAGTTACGGACAACATAAGGCAGTTTCCTAAGTTGCGACTGAGGTTTCACTCAATCTGCTTGCAATTTTTTTTATTACACACAAGTCTGGAGATAGGCACATGTACTTTCACAATGATTTTCTTTTTTTTTACCAAAACAGTTTGAACAGCAACATCTGCGAAATTAAGTCTAGGTCTAATCCAGTTGTGTTGAGAATTATATAGTACTATCAACAACCTTCGTTTTATGACTTTCATGCAGTACAGGGGAAGAAAGTTCTGGTTTGCTACAACTGGTTCCGGTTTTCTAAAGTCTACAACTTAAGTTTTAAGAATCATGCATGCCGTACTGGGAAGGAATGTTCCGGTTTTCTGTGTGAGATGCATAGGCCTAGATGTTCTTTGGCACTGTATGGTGACTCAAGAAAGTATTCATTGGTAAAAAGTGGTAGGCATACTTTTTGCCCAACTTTCAACCGGTTTTACTGAAATAGATCTGGAAATAAGGGATTCTGCCAAATAGATACATGTAACATGTACGGGTACATGTATGTGAGTTTAAATACAACTGGTTATTTATTTTCAAAGATTTTGGGAAGTAGTTCCATACGTGTTCACGATGCCACTTGACATCTTGAGCATAAACACTATAAGACTAATCTGAAAAATTTCAAGTGTTTTCTAAGCTTGGTTTTTTCCCTCCTAAATTGAACTTTTCTGGATATGTTTTTGCTTTCACGGCTAATAGGTAACTGTACGAAATAACTACTGGTGTCCGTATGTGGAACTCTTCCCAATTTTTGTGTTCCTGAATCCTGACCAATTCTGGTGGGGAAAATGGGCAGAAGTGGTGATGTCCTTTGGAAAGAGTTCCTTTTTACCTTACTTTCCTTCCTTACTATGACTTGAAAAATACCAAAAAGCACAAATTATCTTAATTGAGAAACATCAAGTTGGGAGTCAAAAAAATTTCATGTTGTCTTTGAAAATACTTAGGTGTTTTCTTTGCCATGTCAACCCTAACTGCCCAAAACCTGCCATACTCCAACAGCAGGTTTTGTGAGGTTTTGGCAGGTTTGGTACTGTACCTGAGGAACTTCTTGTTGAATTTTGTGAGACTTGGGATGAAAGGCTCAGGGAGATGGTATTGGATTCTGTGTGAGTTGGGACACACACGGGTCATTGTGTGCAGGTGTGCAGTGTCTGGCTTGCTGTACCAATTGTTGGTCTATACTTGATTTTGTCAGGTTTGGTACTGTTCAGTGCAAGTCATCCTATACTGCATAGACCCATCCACACCATATCACTCAAACTCCAATGGGCTCATTCTGTTAGAGTTTATCAGGTTTGGTACAGTAACCTGCATGTACAAGTGCATACACAAGTACATGAACCTGTTGGATTTTGTGAGGTTCAGTGTGCTTTCTAATGCAGGAGCCTAGGGGGTTAGGGTTAATATCAATCTCAAAGAGCCTTGTGCTAACACACCTTAAGCATCAAAATTAAAAATCTGTTAAGTGCAGAGCACATGATGACTTTTTACCTGACCTCACCTAAAATCAGGAGTATTATCCAATTATTAAAAACCAATTGACTTCCACCACCATCATCCGAACAGATCGGATTGTCTGCTCATAATCATGATAATTGTCATTTCCTTCCTTTGCAGGTTTCAAGTCTAACTGATAATGGCACCGTGAATCTACTGTATTATATTACTTACAAATTGTATCCTTAGGAATGGAGAAAGATGAGATCATATACACTCAAAAAAGAACAGCTCAAAGTTAACTGTACATTGTAGAAGTGGACAAACCTGAAAAGGGGGTTACTTTTGGACAAAGTTCCCCATGCTGTTATCGACAGGTTTGATCTGTGGAAAAAGCAGGTTCTGATACCAGGGAAATTTTCGAGTAAAACCCTGACCCCAGTTAGAGGGAAATTATGGGGTAAATCATAACTCAATCACAGTGGAAGGGCATCATATGTGACAAATGCTAAATTTTGAGTGGATACAGTTTGCTGTTAGGGTTGAAATGTTTCGTGCATTTTGACTTAAAATAACATGTTCAGTGTGTTATAGTATAATTAGTCTCTATGACTATTCCCAACTGTGTTTTTTTTCTCTAGCAAATAAGTAACTTAATTCAGATTCCCACGTAAAGTATGTGAATAAAGTACATGTATATGAAGAGAGAGAATGGCAGCCAGGAACAGTTGGAGTCTTAACAGATGCTTGCTTTCAAGTCCAGGCTTATGTAAACTTCTTTAACCACAACTCTTTTTACTGTTTTACACGTAATGGATTTGATGCATTAGTTTTCCCTGATTGTTGACCATTATTGAAGGAGAAACTTTACACCGCTCAGTTTTGTTACAGACTTACTTTGAAGTCTTTAAACTTTTGTCTGAACTTCTGTCAGCAGAGTGTGTAATCACAACTGATTCACCAGGACAGTGTTTGCGCCATGATGGGATACTGTGAAAGTCAACTTGTACTGTGAAATCTGTCAAAGAGGTGGAATTTTCTTGCAACTTGATCAAAACAAGAATGGCCTATCAGCCGGTGAGTTCCAGAGAAATCATTATTTAATGAAATTTAGTTTATAGTGTATATTTTATTTTAATTTGATTTAGCTAAAACTCTTTTGATTTCAGGTTTTCATGTATATGTATATGAATTATAACTCCAGGAAAAATCTGTGAACCGCTCTGTTTCAGGTTGAGTTTTAGCTCACTGTACTCTCTGTGAAAAAATGAAAGTGAGTGACGCTCGTTAGTTTTCTGGTGAGCTTCAAGGATTTGCTCAGTGGCGAGCTCCACTTGCAATTTGTCGCATGAATTTTAGCACCTGGCTGGAGTGTACAGTGACCTTCAAATGTGATTCATATATTTTCTTGCACCCACTTCATCTATCCCCGTAGTCTGAACACAGCCTCAACATAAGTCTGAGAATGACCAGGCCGTTGTTCACGTGACCTTTGAGTTGAGGTCAACCTATTCACACATGCACAGGGGCTGCATTTGTTTGTGTCCCAGAAAACTAGACCAGTAAGACTTCTGCAAGCAGTATCATTTCAGAAGTGTGACGGGCAATGCCTGACTTGGTGCTGATGAGACTTGAGGTCACATCTCCCTGTCTATAGTGACTTTGGTGTTGGGTCTGACTCCAGATTTAGGTTTCTGTGGAGTTATCTCCAGACCAATGTCATCATATGATGTTGCTTGGCTGAGATTAGAGGACTTTAACTACCGGTACTTGTATGCCTTCGTGATGAACCCCTTTGTGGTTTGAAGCAGAAAGATGTCTGGCTATCGGTTTGAAATGCATAAGATTCTGTTTGTTGTTTCAAATATACATGCCCTTTAGTCCTGTAACAAATCCACCTGTACAGTACGTACTGCACATGTACTGTACATGTACATTGTACAAATGTACGTATGCATTAATAGTGTTCATGGGCATCTTGATAATGAATGTCACTAAATCCACATAAATTTTTGGGGGCATGTTTCTCAAATCCTAGACTAGACCTCCCCCAGTGAGGAACACCTGTAGCTTTTGACTCCGGGTACGTGGGGTCAAATATTTTGGATCTTTCCAGGGATTTTTCAAACTGACGTTTTTCCT